GTTTGCTTTTCTTTCCAGAACTCTGAATACAGTATATTTAGCGAGCTTACGCCTTCACATTTTACGTATTTGTTCAGTCATTGTAGCCAAATTTTGAGTCCATTTTCTTTTATTGTGTACCAATAAACTGATAAAGATAGATAAGTGTGACTGTATACAACTTGTAATTTAAGATATTGATAATATACAGTTATATACATATATCTAAAATATTTACGCATAAAATCTAAATATTATTATAACACATTATCATATTTATTTCTCAAAATAGGTTACTAGTTTTATAACTTTAAAATTTTCCAAAAAATTGGTTTTCTAAGTGATTCTATAGTCTTTAGGGACTTACAAGTAATACTTTCTGAGATTAGCTCATGCCCTAAAAATTCTACTTACGATTGATTAAACATGAACATAAATCCTTTATTAATACATTATTTGTAACCTACGTGTACAGATATGTAGGTATATTATTTTGCCTTACAAAGTTAAAATACGTTGAACACATTTTTAAACTTTCGCGTTGTGAATCGCGAATTTAAATAGATGTAGGACATGTTTTAGCCTTACATCATTTGTTCGAAATTAAAATATTAACAAACAAACAGTTAATCTTGTGTAAGATATTTAATACATGTTTAGGTGTCTTATTCATTTCCTTTATTTGGGATTATTTCCAATTATTACATTTAAAACATTCATGTGTATATTATAATATACCTATTAGTTGGTGGTTTACATGTCTTGCTACAAAACCGTGACCAATATTTGTTTATATTTAAACTAAGGTAAGTCTCTGTTATTAAAAATAAAGATACTTAAAGTAATAAATTATATTTATATAATTTATAGATTTTGACACGTTAAGTTACAAGTATCATTGTTACACAAACTAAATAATATAATATTTAGTCACTGTAAACAGAGATTTGGTAAATACTGTTTAAATAAACAGAGTTTTAATTATTTATTGTAGTAGGATCGTAATCGAAACGAAATAACCACTTGCTTGTTATAAAAAACTTAAGTACATTCTAATCTCAATTTGATAAAAAGCATCTTTTAAGCCAGGTTTAGATAAAGATAAATTTATTTGCATAAACAAATCTCGTTGTGTGTGTGCAGTAAATACATATTAGGTATTTTAATTATGTAGTAATTGTAACATGTTTTTTACCAAGATTAGCATGCACATTTTTTGTTTAGGACTTTTCCCTTGACAGACAGATTCATATTCCTTTTTTCTATTCTTTAAAATAACTATGACTAGAGAAACTCAATTCGCAGCTTTGTCTACAAGTTCGATTATATTTTCTGTTTATTTGAGCTATACTATTTTATTTTACTAAACACTTGATTTTATGATCAATATCTAACTGATGTTCATTTAGATATTGAATTTGAATTTTGGATTTTTTTTGTTTGTTTTGTGTTTAGTAAATTAATATGCAACTTAATTGTAATATATAATGAATCATAGCAGTCTCTTAGGTACACAATAAGCTGCGAGTACAATTTTTCTCTACTTCTTCCAGATCCAACCAAGACTGACATTTTAAATGGGCCCAGTACATCAGCGAGTCTTTAGGACTCGATATGTCCTAGAATTTTGTCAGATTTTTCTTGGTTAGTTTTTTTTTTAAGTAGTTTTAAGTAGTCCTAGGTTTTGTCGACTATTATTATTATTGTTACTTTTGTACCCGAATTGATGGGTATATAATATTATGTCAATTATTATGTTAGTTTTGTACCCGAATTAATGGGTATGTTAGTTTTGTACCCGAATTGATGGGTATGTTACTTTTGTACCCGAATTGATGGGTATGTTAGTTTTGTACCCGAATTGATGGGTATGTTAGTTTTGTACCCGAATTGATGGGTATGTTAGTTTTGTACCCGAATTGATGGGTATGTTACTTTTGTACCCGAATTGATGGGTATGTTAGTTTTGTACCCGAATTTATGGGTATGTTAGTTTTGTACCCGAATTGATGGGTATGTTAGTTTTGTACCCGAATTGATGGGTATGTTAGTTTTGTACCCGAATTTATGGGTATACTAGTTTTGTACCCAAATCAATGGGTATGTTTAATGTAACTCCATCACTTTGGCTAGATATATATTTTATAGTGGAATAGAGGATGGTTAACATTTAGTTCCACCATTTTGACAAGATATTTTATAATAAAATAGAGTTACACTTAGTTCCACAATTTTGGCAAGATATTTTATAATGGAATAGAGTATGGTTAACATTTAGTTCCACTATTTTGGCAAGATATTTTATAGTGGAATAGAGTATGTTCAACATTCAGTATGAATGTAGTTATAGGAGAGTTGAATGATTGTTTGGTAACTTTATTTATTTTTTACTTGATGGATTATTTGGTTTATACTATTTATTTCGCCATATAACTATCGCTTGCACATTCATGCACTTATTTCGATTAGTGCGATATTGCTTTTAACCTAAATGGCTTATAAATCCACACTTTTAGCAAAAGTTATTTCTTGCAACACATTGTGCATCATAACTATTTTGATATGTACTCTCACATTTCATACACCGTATATTCTTCACCGAAATCTCTTTACAAGATTTGGTTTCTTTAGTGTCCTTTTACTGATCTTTCATCAGTCTCTATTGAATTGCTTCCACAATATTTATTTCTATTTAAGTAGAATTATCTTTTAACTTAAGTTCTGAGGAACTGCATTTTTCTACGATTTGACAATTGAGATGTTATAATAAGACAATTTGCAAAACGGGAATTTTATGGTGGTATATTATTTATACGTATTTATATAAATACTGTCAACTAATGATAATCGACAAATAACCAATTATGTTACTATTATTAACAAATATATTAACCGTATATCGTAGTCGACAAATGCGTCTGACTACCCCGTCAAGGATTGAATCTAAATAAAATATTATAAGTTGTTATTATTATATTTTTTTCAGAATTTTGTGTTTGTAAATGAATATACTAAAATGATTGTTCTAAAACAACCTGAAAAATAAGATGTTGCTGATGTCAACATTAATTATTTATACATATTTACAATTTAAAAAAGAATCTGTAATTCAGGAATAAAGGCTATTTTTATTTTATTTTTTATTAAATGATTATACCTACCTACCGTAATAATGTATGCTATTATAATTGTAGGCAACAATATTGTAAATGCGAATACTTGTACTTGTTGTACAGGTGGATAAATGGATTATTCTCAGTTACAAACACAGCCTTTTGAACTTATAAACCAACATAAATACGTAGGTAAATTTATGTGCCCCAACGGCGAAAGGGTAACCAATTCAGAATTAAGCAGAGAACTACCGGCAACGCTAATATTCTGCTGGTTCCTTGTAAGAAAAACAAAATCGTAACCTCAACTCTTACCAAATATCTGTCAAATAATGAAGTTAATGTGAAGTGTTTGAATATATCATAATTATCTTATGATAATTACATTTGTATTAGGTTTATACCTACATACACATCTATTTATTATGGAAGCAACCTCTATAATCGGAACCACCAATTGCATAAACTTGTATCTAAATAGATTACAGTTTATGTGGAATTATGTATTTAATGGGCTTTGCTCATTCGGATTGTACGGTGTATTTTATTTGTCAAAATAATTACTCCGACTCGGCTAATACATGCAGGCACATTTTGTTGTATGTATAGTCAGTATTCGCTGGTATCCCCGAACTACTTATCTTAAGAATTCAACTGTTATAATCACTTATACTGTGATGTAAATATAAACAGAAAGTATGCGGTACGGTATACCTAGACATCAACAAACGCCGACCATTTGTTTAGGCATGTATAGCAAGTTATTGTACGACTATGATGCGCAAACGCGTTAAAATCAGTCACAGTGTGTCGCTAAATTACAAAACGTACTATGCACCGTAATATGTATTATCAAAATTTTGCTCTCTCTATACAATTTATAGAATCAAATCTTTATTTCTTTTTGAAATTGCTTTTAGTCTTTTCTATATTTAATAAATTGATTGAGAATTAATAAATTATCTTCTCTCTTCCTTGTGAATTTAGAAATTTAACAGTTTAATGTTATTCGTGTCAAGTTACATTAAAATAACAACGCAATAGTTACACTCTTTGGACTGATTAGAACAGGTAATTTTGTAGTCGTATGACATATATATATATATTTTTTACTTACAAATTTTCACCTCGTCGCCAATTTTGTGCTGTCCTCCTCGTATGGTAGGTAGGTGTAGGAAATAATAAACAATAATATGTCACAATGCGACTCACACGACCACCCGCCCGGACGTCACCCAGAGGAGTGCAGGAGCGGGGGGACTTGCAGTCTCAACTTTAATGAGTACATCACAAGTGGCAAACAGTAGGTTTGTAGGAAGTGTTAGTTTTTATGAAGAGGGAGTTAACATTTACTTATCAATGTATTTATATAAAAATATATTCTTTAAAAGCTATAATTAATAGCTTGATTACATATTCAACAAATGTTTTTAATAAATATGACGCTAATTTCATTGAAGAAAATATATATACATATAACAGTATACAATGCTTGATGTACTTACTCTGTGACCTAAATGTTTCAACTATTGTTCTTAATTATAGCAACCCTGATATGTCAGTCAGTTTTTGTTCAATTCCATCAGATCACGATTTCATTATAAGGAAACAGTAGAATCGATTAATGATAAGAATATGAACCATTCGAATGATCATTACAGGGCATCTTTATTTCCAAATAGGTAGGTACCTACAGTGAAAGCAACCTTATTTAGCTTTTACTCTCTATGTGTTATCGGTAATCATTCTAAAATTATAACTCACATTCCAATTTTGATCGGCTGATTGAATCGAATAGGTCAGAATCTATGACCACAAAATTAATGTATAAATTGAAGGTTGGCCGAAAGAAAGGTCAAATAAACAATAAAATTCCATAAAGCTAACCAGTTTATTCCTTTGTTACAGATCCACGTTGTACTGGTAACCTACAAAGAATAGTTGCACCAGATTCTAGTGGAAATCAAGATCCAATCATTGAAAAACAAATTGAAATTGGAACGAACGATGACTGATTAGACATTAATACTGGCCACACGCCGAAACATCGTACTGATTAAAAAAAAAAAAGTAAAAAAAAACATAATGTCACGGGCAACGGCGCCGAGTTGATTCGATATTTGAAAATGTCCGTGAGTGTTACTTAGGGTTGTAGAAAATAAAGATGGCGCACAAAATAAAAAATAACCACTATGTGGCTACGCACAGATCTGGCGTAGACTCACCGTCGTCTGGTGGATATTTGCCCAGAGCATCATCCAGAGACGAAAATGACAGCCACCGAGCTCCTTCTGAAAGGACATTATCTGAATATACGGTAAGTTAATATTAATTTAATAGATTATTGCATCTGTGTAACGGTAATTTAAGGGTATGTGAATTACAAACGCTTCGCCAAAAACAATATAACTTTTGTATTCTGGTATGAGTGAATTTGTGTTATAAATCAAGATTTGTCAATGTTCATGTAAATAGGGTTACCGTACTTAGTTATTACTAGCACTCTTGAAAAATGCCACACTTTGTTTTGTTTTAAAAAAATATGTGTTAAATACATTTGACTGACGTGGTCAGATCTAAACAAACAATCTAAATGCATACAAAAATGGATTTAAATATCAATTAGTGATCAATTAAGTTTATTTACCACTGATTTTTCGCACGCTACTTCGTACACGTGGACTTCAGAAGTAGAAAAATTAATGAAATAAAACACTTCTCGCCGTGTGGGTCCCGGCATAGAATGGACCACCCCTTCCTTTCCCTTGGGTGTTGTAAGAGGCGACTAAGGGACCATATGGTAGAGGGATGGGCAGCAGCGTCCCATATACATATACATATACATATGTAAAAGCCTAACTGCGGTTGCCAACCCGCCTGCCAAGCGCGGCAACTACTGGCAAAACTGCCCTTATGGGTAACGACTGAAATAATAATAAAAACTACTCCTAGATGGCGTATCAAGATAAAATATACACCATCATTTAAGTTACACCATCAAAAACAACTGTGAAAACTGCATCTTATTTGTTGTATTACTTTTTACGTGGTACCGAATCAAACATAAAGACAAACAGGGAGACAGACAAAATTTCTAAAAGTTATTGCTTTTGGGCTCTATTATCTTATTTAACCTCTTCATATACATTTTTATTAAATATCCCCAATTTACAGACATCGTCTGTCAATTTTACTATATTATTGTATCAACCGTTAACTGTCCACTGCTGGACATAGCCTCCCTCCCCATAAGTGGGGTCTTGTAGTTGCCACGCTTGGCTTTTGGTGATGTTTTAAGAAGAACGCTGCTACCTAACCCTCCACCATAGGAGGGAAAGGGATTGTTAGTGATGGAGACTAAGAATCCCGTTGCTAGCAATATACTCAACCAGGTCGACCTCCTCGCGGTTCCTTCTGGTTCGCGGTAATTCCTGATGAATTCATCATGATGGGCTAACTGGACTGTTTTCATTCTCATCTATCACTCTTCCGTATTCCGTTAGCGCAGACGGGGTTACCATTCCATTTTCACCCATCAAAAAAAACCTTTTACCATAAGCTCCCTTATTTCTGCTCTAATGATATGCACGGGAAAGGAAAGGATGACCTCATATACCTCATATGATACGACATCATTTACTACATTAATAGTACCATTTCAAAAAGTATTTAAGAGAAATAAATATTATAATTTTTGATTATTGTCCCAATTTATTTGCGCGTAACATTAAAACAGTACCTACCCACAGTAATAGTTTTATATAACATAACACAAACTACGTAGTGTAAAATATAAACGGCGCACATTCCTCGCTGTGAAAACAGATGTCGATTTATTTCGGCCATACATCACTCGTTTCCTGTCCGTCTGTACACACCGATTAATATGGCAATACGGTCATATCTCTTGGAATGCCAATTCCGCTAACTGCGGCAAATGTAATTCACGATCTCAATTTATGTCATACGAATAAGTCAAATAGATAGATTATTGATATTTATATGTATATACAGTAATATGTCTCTATTGTGTATTTATTTGCATGTATCTATTTATGTCCCAATCGTGTTTCAAACGTGAAGCAATTGTGTTTCGATTTAAAGGTTGGGATATGGTAGTGAATTTACAGGGTACAGATGAATAACACCTGGGTCCTCAGGAATGGCAACGCATGGGAGGTATCATGGGCGAAACAGTATACTCTGTTATGTCCATGGTACTGCTCATGTCTATAGGCGACGGTTATTACTTTCAATCAGGTGGGCCGTCAGCTTGTTTGCCATTTTAAGTTGTATAAAAAAATGCAATAGGTTTCAGCCAATTCAACTGATTGGTTATTTTATATCATTTTATATGTGATTCTTTAGATTGATATAACTTTTTTATTTTGTTAACCGAGTGAAATAAAACAACCACTGAATGTTAAATGGAGCAAACAGCAATGCATTAGTGAAAACCACATTCAAATCGGTTAAACCGTTTCTGAGATTAGCTTGCACAAAAGTACAGATGAACAAAAATTCTAAAAATCATTGTTTTGGGTTCTATTGCGTTTATAAAACGCCTCCTATAATAGTTTTTCCTATATATCATCCATGTACAGACAGCGACCAGTTTTTTTAATGGGTGATAATGGAGTGGTAATCACACCCGCGCTAACGGTATACACCAGCGGGGTACCAGTGAAGGATGATAGGTAAGAATGAAGCAAGTCAGTTAGCCCATCGTGACGAATTCAACAAGAATTGTTCACGATGGTTTCAAAGGGGAGGTCGACCTAATAGGGCAAATTGCTAACAATGGGGCTGTCAAACTCCATTGCTAACAATCCCTTTCCCCCAGCAGCGACCAGTTACGATTTTATTATATGTATTGATTGAAAGTCACCAAATAATTTATGGTTTTATACACATGTCTCCACAAAGCACTTTTATATTAGTTAACGATGTCCTTCGTCATGTTTGTTTCCGTAAAATTGGCTCACTGATTTATATTTGTAAAACACTGTGTTTTGGTAATTCATTATGGACTCCCACGATACAGGTTCGCCTAGTGTTGGGTCGAATATACTCATGTTGTATATTTTTTGTGTTTATTAATAAAAAAATAGATAGATTTTCTTTATTAGTATCTTCCAAAAGATTACAATAATAACCTTATTATAGATGCAAAAAATTACAAGAAATGATCACACCAAGAAAATAATGGTACATTTATTCCTTTAAATTGATCACATAATTGATTATGTCAAGTAAATTTTTTATACAACTTCGAATGGCAAACAAGCTGACGGTCCACCTGATAGAAAGTGGTAACAGTCGCCTATAGACATAAGCAGTACCATAGACATAACAGAGTATACTGTTTCGCCCATGACACCCCCCATGCGTTGCCATTTCTGAGGACTCAGATGTTATTCCTCTGTACCCTGTAAAATTACTGCCATTTTCCACCCTTCAAACCGAAACACAGCCATGCAAACACAACTGCTTCACAGTAGAAACACGAATGTGACAGAGGTGCCCAAGCAAACGACTTTTGTACGAAGTCTCCCTCTAGTAATCCTAATGGTAACTTTATTTCTTACTGAATGTTTATTATGTATTATTTTGTCTGTTAATTGTACTTTTTGTTTCCCAAATAAAATAAAATACAAATAAAATAAATGATAATTAAAGAATGCGGTCAATACTGAGGCACCATTTCTCTAAACCGTTCTATAAAAAAAAAATCACAGGGAAATCTTTATTCTAGAGACCAACATAAACTAAATATCTAATTAATAATGAAAGTAAAAAATATTGTGAAATTAATTTATGATACATCCATTCTCACAAACTTCTGCATTCACAATATATTATTACTATTGAAATAAGCGAGGGCTGTATGAATGTAGCATCATCGTCACCATATCAGCCTTTAACTGTCCACTGCTGAACATAAACCTCCCTCTTAGGGGGTTATGCCAGTAGTTGCTTGGCAGACGGATTGGCAACCGCAGTTAGGCTTTTAGAGATGTTTTAAGAGGAACGTCGCTGTCCATCCCTCGCCCTACCTTAGTCGTCTCTTACGATGCGCACGAGAAAGGAAGGGGTAGCCTATTTTATGCCGGGACTGTAGTATTATATTATCTGTGACACGACTAATGTATGTAGTATGCTCAAAGAAACTTCCATTTAGAATTAAGCTCTTACGCATTACCGCATTGATTTAATGTGTACACATGTATTGAAATAGTATTGTTTGGTATTTCCACGCGTACAACACGGCCTCAATGGAAACAGCAACATAATGTGCCCAATCATAACACATCTTTATTGCAAATTAAATGGCAGTAAATTGTTATTGTTCAGCTAATCTTAGCGTGGTATTCAGGGAGTAACGACTATTGAAAACTACCGCGAATGGCGTACAATAGTGCGGCCTGAATCGATCGTTAATTAATATATAATATCGATGTAATCGATAGTGTAAGGACAATAACAATTTGAAATTGGAATTAGAAAAAAATATATTACATTATTCATTCGATTATAATCGACTAGGTATGCATTACTATCGATAGTATTGATTATATTGATAATAAGTTCAAAAAATAAATTCTTACTAATATTAAAAATGATTCACATTTTTGTTTGTGAGTTTGTTTGTTTGTTATAGATTGTTTACAGTTTGTTTATTAATAGGTTAAGGCCGATTACTATGAAATTTGATATACACGTATTGTATTGAATGAAAACGAACATAGACTACTTTCATCCTGGTCAATGAAAATATCTCAGTCACGCGAACAAAGTCTTTGGGAAATCGGTAGTATTGATTTAATACGATGCATGTATAATATTTTTGTTTGAGGAACTCATTGCTTATCAGTACATGTTCTAGTATCCCCATGCACAAGTTATAAAGGAATCTGTCGATAGATACGTTTACAATAGGTACTACATGCATGAAAATGAAACTGGCTTCACAGGTAAAGATGTAGACACGAGGGCACAGTTAAAACTATAAACAGTTTACTGAGCCCTTTAAATATTTATAATCTAAAGGTTATTTAGCATAAGGACCTCGCATATATTCTTGAAGAATCGTGGATTTGAAACCAATGGCGCCAGAGACGGCTCCTGCGAGAAAATGCAATGTGAATTTATATTGGGTATTTATTCATAATGGGAAATTCTGGAATAACTCTATAGCGCTTTGCAGTAGTTTACGCGTCGGATCTAATATTTTTTAAGCAAAAGTGAAGACTTTTGAGCAAGTTCTCAATTCGTCTGCTTTTTTTTTATTTTTTGCCCGTAGGGTAGAGAGAACAAGTGAACATAATACCTAATTAGTTTTTTTTTTTCTATTATTTTATTATAAATATTTTCAAATGTTTCAATTTGATGCACGTGATCATTAGTGATGAAATAAAAATGTCACAGAAGTAAATTAAATCATAGTTAGAGTATAGCTCAGGGCTCTTAATGGTACTATGGGCTAAGGACTTCGATGTCGCAATATTCTCACTTTTATACGCACATAAAAATAGAGTTTCTCGAGAGGGTCAACTTTGGTTTTACAACGTTCCAGGACTTAGAACAATTTCGACCGCCCCTAAGTGTAGGTATCCACTGACCCAAAGTCTTTATTTCAGACAATGGACGAGAGAACCCGATCACCTTCCGGTGAACACCGAAACGGCGACCACCGGAACGGTGATCATCGGAACGGTGATCACCGGAACGGTCGACGGTCGCACCCGAACGGCTCACCTCGCGCCGACTCCGGTTCTGACGTGTACGTCACCAGTGCCGCCTACCGTCCACCCTCCGAAATGAGGTAAGAATTGACATGATCACTGCATTAAAGAAAGTCACTTCCCGATGTCTCTCCCTATGTATGCTTAGATCTTAAAAACTACGCAACGGATTTTGATGCGGTATTTTTGTAAGAAGGTTTGTATGTATAATACATACACAATATTGTAGAGAAACACTGATAATTTTAAAGGTTTCTAATGTGATGTCATAAATAAAGAAATTTTTTTGCGCTTACAATGCAAACGCTGGCTGAACCCCACGAGATAGATCAAATTTTTTTTTATACTACTTAGAATAGCAAACAAGTTAACGGCCCACCTGATGAAAAGTGGTAACCGTCGCCTATAGACATGAGGAGTACCATGGACATAACAGAGTATACTGTTTCGTCCATGATACCTCCCATGCGTTGCCATTTCTGAGGACTCAGGTGTTATTCCTCTGTACCCTGTAAATTCACGCCATATCCCACCCTTCAAACCGAAACACAGCCATGCAAACACAACTGCTTCACGGTTGAAACACGAATGCGACGGAGATACTTGCATGGTAATGTTTCTGTTTAAAGAGTGGGATATGGCAGTGAATTTACAGAATACAGATGCATACTACCCCAGTCCTCAGGAATAGCAACGCATGGTAGTCCCATGGGCATCACAGTATATAATATATTGTTCAAATCTCTCTTTGCTGCGAATAATTTATTTTCAAAACCAGTTTCTTTTATTACCTGTACGTATATAATAAAACCAAAATAATTCTCTTTGAAACTGATATCCGTCCGGGATTATTTATAAAATTTTAGACTGTGTTTTATTTTCGATATTTCAGCTGTTTTCTCTGTTTATATATTTTGTTTCTAACACAAATCTAACGTATATGTCTATCTGTCCATAAGAACCTTATAATTTAATGAAAAAAAAAATATGGGTACGTATTTGCATTGCCAATTATTTCTATTTACTTATTACAAAAATACAGTCTTTCTATAAAAAATAATTTAAAACACTCTATACTAAAAAGTGTTTAACAAAATTTTATAGAAGTAAATAAAATAAATATTGTTTAGTCAATATAATGTTTATTTGAAGCTTTTTATCGCTCTGTTATCCTATAAAGGATGGAAGTGAAACCTGGAATTTCTCTGCCATAACCCATCCTTCACGGCAAAAACACTAATGGAACAGAGATACCCAAATAAACGACTTTGGCACAAAGTCTCCCCCTGATGATAGATAGATGCACACCTAATTGCGGCCACCTTCAAAGCGTGTATCACGGGCGGGGCACCGTTACATGTTCGTCCCGCTAAATCCTGACGATTTCACTAATTCAGACAACGGATCTCGAAACGTGTCGAATTACAAGACGCCATGCGTCCATGTATCGACTAGACGGACGGTTGAAACGTAGCGTTTTATTAAAAACGCTACGTTTCAACCGTCTATTTGTGACACGTGCATACGCATGTTACAAATAGGTATTTCATTAGCAACATTTCAATTAATTTATTCGTTTATTTGCTTTAAATGGTTGTTTTACATAGATGTGTTTTTTAATTAATATCATTTGAAGTGACAATAATCAACCGAATTCAAAACAGGAGGACCTCCTTTTTGTAGTTATTGGTTTTTATACCTACTTTACTTGGGAAATAAACTTGTTTCATCATGTTGTCTATTGTTGAATAGATACAAATCTCACCCATAAACTACCACAAGAATTTATTTTAAAAATTAAGGAACACATTTCGAACTCATTTTTTTTTTTTGCAGGTTGTGTTATATTTTTAAACCAACACTGATCTGATTTCTTTATTGGTTTTAATTAATAGAAGTTGAAAATGCTCCCATACCTCTATTGTTGCATCTTTGTCTTACTTGTAATGCTGCTTTCATACATATTTTTATTTCATTAATACTAAAGCAAATTTTTTGTAAATATTTTTATAATATTCAAATTTGAAACGTTAAAAGCCAACCGCTCGTCTGCACCCAACATAATCACAAACAAAACCTTCTCATTAAACGGCTAGATTGATGGCAAATTGCCCATACCGAGTGCAATCGTTGCAGCACATGACTCATCGCGAATGCATATTGGAGTCATCGCGAATCAAGTTTGATTGTATGTTTACAACTCATATTATCGGAGACGCCATTATCGTAACGGGGTTTACGTTCTTTTGCCTGTCTGTAAATGTTTGTAATTTATCTCTGCACCTAAACGCTTTCGAACTATGTAGGTGAACTAGTACTCTATTGAATTCTATTGATTTCTGACCTCTAAGAAGTTTGCATATAGAATTCATTGGAGAAAGTTTTACCAGAGGGAGACTTTGTACAAAAGTCGATTGCTTGGGTACCTCTGTCCCATTCGTGTTTCAACCGTGAAGCAGTTGTATTTGCATGGCTGTGTTTCGGTTTGAAGGGTGAGATATGGCGTGAATTTACAGGGTACAGAGGAATAAAATCTGAGTCCTCAGGAATGGCAACGCATTGGGGTATCATGGGCGAAACAGTATACTCTGTTATGTCTATGGTACTGCTCATGTCTTTAGGCGACGGTTACCACTTTCCATCAGGTGGGCCGTCGGCTTGTTTGAATTCGAAGTTGCATAAAAAAAAATTGGAGACAGTTCTGATACCATTAATCAAAATATACAAGACTAAGAAGACCTTAAGGAAAAAAAATCAAAAATATTGGCACTTTAATATTTTCATAAAGTATTATGTGAAACTAGACATTTTTCACAAAGTAATACAAGTTACAAATGTCTAAAGAATTTCAACCTCCTAATATTTTTAACTTTTTTAAAAGAAGAAGATTTTTGTTTTTTTTTTTAAGAACATACATTTTTTCCAATTAATTTGATAAAAACTGTTACCCATCAATTGTTTTGGAACTAAATGGGTATCATTAACCACTTTTAAAGCAACTGATACAACGACACACATCAAGTAAATATTATACGTAATTACATGCTTATTTTATTTTATTTATTTTATCATTTTTAACTGCATTACATATGTGTTTACATTAAAAATGTACTTTATTTCCAATAAATACAGAAGAACATGTTAAACAACATCAATAAAATTATAGTTAAAAAAGTAGGTAAATCATATTTGTATAGGTATTATTAATTCTATGACGCTTCGTAAATTGTAATTAAAGATTAGATCCGCACGTTTTATTTTTTCATAGACATTAGGAAAATAATAAGTAAGCTTTGAAGTTTTTTATGATCCGTAGATAGCTGGTTCATATCCGGCTCGAAGGACCACACAACAGGCTATTGGAGAAACAATAGGTCCGTTGGGAAATTTTATGGAAAATAATTTATTGAATTTATTTTATACGGTGTACAACTTGACGGACAGAATTGGGAACAGACGAGTACGAAAACTTGCCATATGACAATTTCATTTTAGTATGGCCACATAAAAATAATCATAAATTTAAACATATTAAAAAATCCACAATTTTCAAATAAAAAGATATTAAATAATGTTACGTTGCCGTGTAGGTCCCGGTATAGAATTGATCACCCCTTCCTTTTCCATAGGTGTCGTTAGAGGGGACTAAGGGAACTTATGGTCGAGGAATGGGCAGCAGCGTCCTTCTTAAAACATCACCAAAAGACTCATTGCGGTTACCAACCCGCCTGCCAAGCGTGGCAAAATCCCCCAATGACCTGTGAAGGAAGCCTATGTTCAGCAGTGAACGGATAATGGCTGAAATGATGATAATGAAATGATGTTATAGTTTTGTGTTCTGAACAGAATTAATACTCGTAATATTAATGCTAATGCTACATAAAACAGTATCGTATATACAGGGTGAAGTCGCAATTATTAGCATTCTTTTAAGACACTATTCTACCCAAACATACGAAACCTAAACATTTTCCCAAGAAAACCTGTCGAAAACGGACAAAAAATTTAAGCCTGCATACTAACTTAAAACCCGGTCACGCGGACAATGTCGCAGCTAAATATTAGTCAATAATAAACAACATGAAAGTCACAATAAGTCAACCAGCATCCAAACCGCGCGGCAGTACAATGACGGCGCGAGAATCGAACCTAGACTTCTCCGCGATTTATTGACCCCGGCCTAAGCTAATCTGGATTCAAGTTGCGTTGTGGGTCATACGGTATTCCATACAATTCGTTGTATACCATGTTGAAATACCTATGCTGTTTGTTACCACAACAGCTTGATAGGTACAGCATTCCTACGTTTCTGCGCATACAATTTCGCGGGGCATTTTACATTGTGACTATGATATATGTACCAGCTTTCAACTAACTGCATAATGAAGATATAGCAGTGTGGTAGCAGCATAGAATTGGCCACCGCTTCCTTTCTCGTGGGTGTCGTAAATGAAAACTAAGGGAGCTTAATAGTCGAGGGATGGGCAGCAGCGCCCTTCTTAAAACATCTCCAAGACCTAACAGTGGTTGCCAATACGCCTGCCAAGCGTGGCAACTGCTGGCAAATCCGCCTAATAGGGTTTCATTTAGAAATGGAGTTAAGGGCTGATACGATGATAAAGGAGGACCGCATATTCTTGATCTGAGATGAAAGTTCTCAACATGTTTATACTTTTCGTGTATTAAGATGTGATCCGTTCATTAATGTTGAATCAATTTTGACAGTTATTTTGTTATCGAAAAGATTTATTCCTTTTTAAGCCCCATACTCACGTAGTAGGTAAATATGGCTATTTTTTTTAATAATAGCTGATATTTTTATAAATATCACAAAGTACATCATAAGTCATGTCCATTATTATCCATTAGCCACTTGCAATTGACATTCATTCGAATTGAATAAATTCCTAAAATGCAATCAACCCTTCAAACCAAAACACGCATCCAACCCCAACAGTTTGGTTGCAAAAACACGAATGAAACGGAATGTATAATATATGCAGATAATACGTAACATGCATACTAATAACAATTGTTTTGCTTAGCACTCCGAAGTCGGTGAAAATATTTGAAATACCAT